TCCAACTCCTAGAGAAATGGGATAAAAAACAGGGAAACAACAACATGTTCTGGATCACATAAAACTTGAAGAAAATTCTTGCTACCAAAATGTTTGCTGAATGCAGATGTTTTATGAAAGCTGATGTCCTCTTATGTGATGAAAACCTTCTAAACGGGTTTAATTGCTTTTCTTTTTCTTTGCCCTTTTTGTGTGATGGTGTGAGGAGATCAAGGCATTCCATCCAAATATGTTGTTTCAATAGCATGGAACTGTTGAAGTTGCAAATAATAGGGGGAGCTTCGCTTTCTCTTCACGAATTGGTTGTCCAGAAAGTATAGGAAAAGGACAAATTACACTTTACCCCCTCCGGTGTAGCTAATTTTCATGTAATCCCCTTCTAGTTTTAAAAACTATATATAATCCCCTGATAGTTTGAATTAAAAATGTCAAATTAACGGAAATGATCATCCGTAACGAAACCTATAAAAATATCAAAATTACCTTTGTTTAAAAACTAAAACGACTTAAGTGACCAAAATATATAAATATAATATGCATGGCGCTCTAATCTCGTATGATTTTATATTTTACCATATAACCCCCCTTATACTTTAGTGCTTAACCATATAACCCTCTTATGGTTTTCAATATATATACATAACCCCCTTGTGATTAATAAATAATTTTTAACTTTACATAGGGATTTTTTTATATTTTAGTTGATTCCGTTATGAATTGCAAATTTTGCCACTTTGACACTATAATCCAAATCATGAAGGGGTTATGTATAACTTTAGAAACCATAAGGGGGTTATGTAATAAAATACTAGACCACAGGGGGGTTATTTGTAAATTGCCCAAAGTTTTATAACTTGAACCTCTTTATTTATTTGACGTTATATCTGCTTTCTTTATTCATCTAGAATTAGAAACTCGCAAAAACAATGGCTCGAAATAACTGTGTTTAATCGTTAGATTGGCATCAAATTTTACCACTATACATGATTCTGCCTCATTTCTTGTCTACATTTACTTCACTGGACATAACTATAATCTATTTATGGAGTAAACCAAATAATTTTGTCATAGCTACTGACTTTTTTATTCCTTCGAAAGTTAGCTAATACTATTTTACTCAACGAGAATTAACAACGATCAACAATTTTATAACTCTCCATTAAATTGTTAAATTGTAGAATATCATGAACTATATTACTGTGGATTTCAAAGTAGCCAAGTAGATTTACACATTTTTACCCAGAAGAAACTAATCACCAAATACCACCTTTTAGAAGCAAAATACTTAATATCCACCTTTGAAATTTTCATCAAATGACTACCAAACAAATTGCCAATTCAGTCTTTTAACAAGCCTTGCATTTGCAATATGGTCTAATCAATCACCCTGTTGCTTTTTAAATTGCAACATCATCCTTCAATTATATCTGAAAAACTCGAGCTGCATGCATGTCTCATGAGCAATGAGCATTTCATTGCTCACCAAATTATGCTTCTTTGGAAGATGTAGAGTCAGTGATGAATTTGGAGAAGAACGATGCCTCTTAAGCCAATAGTCATCTGCTTTTGCAGAAGTACCTAAACTAATTTCCAAACCAACTTGAATCTTTTGATAGAAGGGCATATACAAATTAAAAAAAATTGATCTCAGAGTACTCAATCACTTTCTAGTTGCTCTGAATTCCTAACAACTATTTCAAGAAAATGACCTCAAATAGTTTTTTAAAGATATGAATCTCATTATTGCATTGATTGCTAACCTATGACTAAAACAAGGAGAATAAACTTGATATCCAGAATTTCAACTGCTTCACATACTTCTCAGAAATACACACTTGGAAACTTGCACGATCCATGGCCTGCTCAACATAAAAACCAAGAAAAGAAAAAGTCATACAAATTGCGAAGGAAAAATAGTAATTCTAGTAAGACATAACTATGGTGAGAAAAATTTCTGTGAAGATGGTAATGATTAATTAGCAGTCTAGGGGTAAAAAGGTTTGGGAAGTCTACAATATTTCACCCATTGATGCCATAATTCCATTTCTTGCTGGAAGTTTTGACTCTATTATGATCTGATGCTTGTTAAATGATCCCTGAAGAGAAATTACTTACTTGGATCTGTGGTGGTTAGCACTGCAAGACCATTGAAATGACAAGCTGCACCTCTGCCCCTAAACTTAACCCAATATGAGCTAAATGCATAACTAGCATGAGCTCTAATTGTTACTGGTTCATAGCAATCATTTCCTGGAGATAGTGCATCACAAATTCCATTGCCAAGGCTGCAAACAGATTCCAATTGTGGAACTAATTCCATTATGTTTGCTTCGCTTGCCACAACACACCACAGATTTCCTTTAAAGGGCTCATTATTTGATGGCAGTGGCAATGGGGGATAGTCCCCTTCTCCTAGCTTTCCTGTCAGGTCTAAATCATACACAGGCCAGGAATTGGCTTGCAGAATTCCAAAGTGCCTTGCTGTTCCTCGTCCTGGAATTTGATCTTCATCAAATAAAGCATATATGAATGTTGGTATGAATACACCAGGTCTAGCCGGTGTCCCAATTGGTGGTTTAGCAGATATTCTGTGCACAAGATTTCTGTTGTAAGTAGCAGCATTGTATCTATTTGCACCAGGCTGATCAATGTCACCTGCATGAGGCCAACCAGTTTCTGATATTGCTAATGCAACATGGTCAAGGCCTAATTTTTGACTAGCAAAGAGAACTGAGTCAAGCATCTGATCTAGGAGGTTTGTGTAAATCAAACCACTCTCTGGATCTCTGTATGAAGAATTTTTGTCGCCTCTAAATAAAGCCAAGTCAAGGCTCACATTTGTTGGATTTGCAGACCATGTAAAATAGGGGAAGACATTTAGGAAGAAATACGACTTTGTTTGATTCAAGAATTGCAGCAATGGTATGATGACCTGATCATGAGGAATATCAGACCTGAATGTCCCACTAGAAGGTGGAAATGTTGATTCCAATATGTCCATAGCCAATGGAGTCCCAACTTTAATGTTATGAATATTGTGACTTCTAACTGAATCAAGGATCCTTCTCATTGCAGGTACAAGATTGTACCACAATGTTGTATCATTCTGGCTTAGAACTTCCTGTCCAACAAGTATGAACCGGATCATTGTATCAGGATAATATGCAAGTACATTTTCCTGTACCCACTGATTTGCAAATGTTTGATTCGAAGCAATATGCACGAGAAAATTGTTAGCAATGCTGATTGAGACACGAACACTTTTCTGAGATAACGATTTTAGTATTTCGTGATTTGCATCACGAAGCTTTACAAAACCAGCATTCTTGATCTCAAGGAGCTGGACTGTGTAATTTATTGGTGGGAAATTAGTTCCTTGCGTTCCATAAACTACACCAATCCTGCTTGATGTTAGTGCATCTGTTAAAGAAGCATAAAAAGTTGTTAGTTGAATTGTAGTTGAAAACAAAAATGTGAAAGCATGAACCGGAGTTTTTCTCTTCATTCTTTTTTTGAAAACCTACTTGAGAATGTGAGGAGGCAGAAGAACAAAGGAGCAATAAGAAAATTCTCTGCTATTTTCATCTTCTTCTGTTTTACTCAATGTTGAGACTTATTAGAATACTACTGTTTTGAATGCACAGATAGAAACAGATTATAGAAGAAACTTTATGAGTAAGAATGGAGATTGTCAGAATTAAGAACATATATAGATGGAGAAAAAATTGTTAGAATATCAAGAAGCTGTTGAACAACCAGCAATTATAAGGGAAGAGGAGAGAAATAATCTTTACAATAGTTTCACAGATAAAGTGAGAGCAATAGCAGTTGAAAATTGCATTCTTGCTGCAAGATAAACTAGAAGTCTAGAATGGAACAAAACCATGACATATGAATTAGGTAAGAGACGCAGGCTGGCATTTGTCCACTTCGTTATCATTTTTATCTTTTTTCAAATTTTATTTTATTACTACAATTTTGGGTTTAAAAGCTCGTATAAATCTTAGTCCTTGTAATCAAGAAATGTCACTCAAAATTTCAAAAGCTTGTCATAGATAAATCTAGTCTATTTTGGCCTTGAATTAATGAGGTTTTCATGGGAGGGGTGATTGGAGCAAGTAGTCTGTGGTAGGTACTAAGCAAAGTTGTATCCTCTTTCTGAATTTTGAACTCTCTACTAAACCCAATGACAAATTTTCTACTCTTAAGTAATATTTGATCAACGCGTATAATTTGTTGTTGGACGTCCAAAATTATTTTGCGCATTCATTTTTTGTCAATAGTGGTTTTTTTTTTTGTGTGTGTACAGAGAAAATAGTCAAATATACATGAGACAGGGGAGGGATGGGTTGGATGGTTTTGGGGAGGAAGTATAAGTAAAAAGTCTAAATTTGAGCCCTCCACTTACACTAAATTTTTTTTTTTTTTTTTTTTTAAAAGGTAGATGGAGCAGACTTGACCTAGTTTAGGCTTGTGCTGCCTCTGACATTATCCAGAAACCTTAGCCCTCTTCGCTATCTACATGGGAACTGAAATTGGATTAGGATTACATCCCATTAATCAAATGAATTTATTAATCTCCAAATGAATAAGGTACCCTGCCAACACCAAGACAGCATTAACAGTGGAAATGGAGTCTTGATTCTAGTCACTGTTTATTATCTTGATCCGATTTACCAGGATTAGATTTTAATTGTTGCTTTTTTAGTAGGACAAAGTTCTGACGAAAGTTCAAGCATAATTTGTTGCCATAATGAGGGAAGGAATAAAGCGAAAAGGTAAATTAGGAGCAGAAAGCATCCAATTGCTGTTTAATTAATTGATCAACTAAAGAACTATTAAGTTATTGCCCACTTTGATTTTCTTCTTTTTCGTCAAGAAGATGCTTTTGATGCTTAAACAAGCAAAGAAACACTTCAAATCTATATTGTCATCCTCTAGCATTTCTACTATCTGTTGAATCATATTTGCTGTGAAAATTAAATTTGTTAAGAAGGAAAATGGCTGACGCTCTTATTGGTGCTACCATTCAGATTATTCTGCAGAAGATGCTCCCCCTCGCAGCAGATGGGATTGGGATGGCTTTTGGACTCAAGGAGGATTTGAAGAACTTGAGAGAATCTGCTGCAATGATCCGAGCGGTCATAGCTGATGCAGAGGAAAAGCAAGGACACGATCAGGCTGTGAAACTGTGGTTGAAGAGGCTTGAAGGAGTGGCTTTTGATGCTGATAATGTGTTGGATGAGCTGAACTATGAATTTATTCGGAAACAACTGAAGGAAAAGGTGCGCTTCTTTTCATTCTTTTGTGATACTGCTTTGCATTGGAGAATGGCTTCTAAGGTTAAGAATGTTAACCAGAAGTTGAAAATTATCAACCAAGAAGCTATTGACTTTGGACTCAGGTCCCAGCTGATGGGAGGTGGTGCAAATATAGCTCCCCTTCCTCTCCCTGCTATAAGTCGGGAGACTGACTCTATAATTCGTCAAATTGTTGTTGGAAGATCCAATGATGCATCAAACCTAGTGGAGACATTGTTGAGCTCTTCTGCAAAAGTTGTTTCTGTTATTCCCATATCTGGCATGGGGGGGTTGGGGAAAACAACTTTGGCTCAGTTAGCATACAATGATCCAGGAATTGATGGACATTTTGATACTAAGATTTGGATTTGTGTCTCTGAGAAATTTGAAGTTACTAGGCTTTTTAAACTGGTTTTAGAATCATTGACAAAGAGAAAAGTTAAAACTGAAAGCAGGGATGTTATAGTTCAGGATGTTCGGAAAGAACTTAAATGGAAGAGATATCTTATTGTGCTTGATGACATGTGGGATGAGAGATCTCAACTCTGGGACGACTTTTTTCAATGTTTGGTGGGAATTACCAACACACAAGGAAACTGGATTCTTGTAACAACGCGTAAGCTAAATGTGGCATCGATCGTGGCTACACATCCTACCTATATTATCGGATGATGATTGCTGGTCAATACTGATAGAAAAAGCATTTGGAGGTGGAGAAGTACCAAAAGAATTGGAAGAAGTGAGAACTGAAATCACGAAAAGATGTCAAGGTCTACCTCTGGCTGCAAATGTAATTGGAGGTTTGTTACGTATCAAAAGAAAAGAAGAGTGGCTCCCAATCATAGAGAGCGGGCTTTTGCACTTAAGTGAGAATGAAAATACTGTCATGCAACTACTTAAGTTGAGCTTCGATCATTTACCAACTGCATCCATCAAGAAGTGTTTTGCATACTGCTCGATTCTTGACAAAGATTTTCTTGTAAACAAGCAACATCTAATCCAACTCTGGATGGCTGAAGGTTTTCTTCAAGCAAGTCATAATGAGTTATTAGAGGACATAGGCAACAACCATTACCACATCCTGTTAGAGAGTTCATTGTTGCAAGAAGTAAGGATGTATGACCCCTATCTTGATGTGAATGCCAGATATGCCAAAATGCATGACTTCGTGTATGATCTTGCACGATCATTGTCAGGATCTGACAGCATAAGGGGTGAGAACTGCCAATCCAGATATCTAGTATTGCATTCATTTGGAGAAGAAACACAGATGAAGTTGAATGACATATCAACATCAGTTAGTTCATTAATTTTGCTTGAGAGTCACATATCAGGTGACATTTTATCAAACTTTAGGTACTTGCATGTGCTGAAGTTGTCTTGGGTGACTAGTGAGGTGCTGCCAAGCTCAATCGGCAAGCTGATCCATTTACGATTTCTTGACCTTTCATACTCTAGAATAGAAGCTCTGCCTGAGTCCATTTGCAAGCTTTATAATTTGCAAACACTTACATTTGATGAATATCCTGACAAGAGAACTCTTAAGCAGCTTCCAAAAGGGATGAGAAAGTTGGTTAATTTGAGACATCTCCGCTTTTTTGCTTCTGATGGTCAATTCCAAATGCCAAAAGGGATGAGGCAGTTAACCTGTCTTCAAACTCTACAGTTCTTCAATGTAGGAAAAGACAATGGCCGTACACTTGAGGAGCTGGGATGCTTAAAAAACCTCCGAGGCCGCCTTCAGATTCGCAATCTAGAACTGGTAAATGGTAAAGAGGGAGCTCAGCAGGCAGATTTACTGCAAAAGCCAAAAATGCGTCACTTGGGATTTGAATGGTGTAGTGTTAATGCAGAAGGTGGTTATGATGATGAACATGTCTTGGAAGGCCTCCAGCCCCATCCAAATTTGCAAAGTTTACACATTAATAACTACAATGGTGGGAAATTTCCACATTGGTTAATGAACATGGCAATATACATGAAGACTACAGACGGATCATCAATAACAAGACTCGACAAATTGGTAAAGCTGAGATTAATAAACTGCAAACTATGCACAGAAGTCCCTGCCCTTGGACAGTTGCCATCTCTTCAAGTTCTTGAGTTGAATGGATTAGAGAACTTAAGATGCATTGGAACTTCATTCTATTGCATTGCTGATGATTCCAGTGGATCAAGCAGCAACAGAAGCAGTAGTCAAGGGTCAAGCAAATTGTTTCCAGCTCTTAAAACTCTTGAGTTAGCAAATATGCCAAATCTAGTACAATGGAGGGGAGCAGAAGCTACATCCAGAGGAGGTGGTGATGAAGAGCTAGAAGTGTTCTTTCCTGGCCTTGAAGATTTGATGATTATGATGTGCCCCAAACTGACCACAGCTCCAGGTAATTTTCCAAGCCTGAAGAGATTGAAAATCGAGAGGATGGACCAGGTTTTGCCAGTAAAACAGATTTGCAGTAACGCAACCATTCTCACAGACCTCTGGATCAAAGGAATGCCAGAGCTCACTTGCATTCGAGACGTGCTCAACAAACAGGACTTAGCATGGCTAAGATTAGATGAGTGTCCCTATTTAAATGACATACATGGCTGTGGAACTTCTCTTAGAGAATTAAGGATCATGAACTGCGAGAACCTAAGGGAGTTGCCGGAGAATCTACATCAACTACAGGCTCTACAAACACTTTGTATTATGCAGTGCCCAAATATCAAGTCAGTCGCAATTCCTTCAGGACAGCATGGCCTCACATCCCTCCAAGAACTGAGATTTGTTGATTGCAGTGGGCTGAATAGTCTGCCAGCTGAAATGCTACACTCACGTACATCTCTTTGTACTCTGGTTGTGAGAAGATGCCCCAATCTTGTCTCATTTCCAATTGACTTGCAGCAAACACCTTCTCTAGTGGTCCTAGTGCTATCCGGCTGTCCCAAATTGAACACTATACCGGAAGGACTCGGTCGCTTTTCTTGCTTAAGAGTGCTGTTTATTGGTCCATTCCCAGATTCAAGCCAGGAATTCGAATTGTTATCAGCCGTGGCTTCCTCATCTGTCCGCACTCTTGCAATAGTTGGATGGCCTCATTCAAATTCTCTGCCAGAAGAGCTTCAGTACCTGACTAACATTACAAAATTAAGTATACTCAACTTTGGATCAGTAGAAGCTTTACCTGATTGGTTGGGAAACCTTGGCTCTCTAGAAAGACTACACCTGATTGATTGTGAAAAGCTTCAACATTTGCCTACTATGGCTGCTATGCGACGTCTCACCAAATTAAGTTTTCTGTCAATTTCGGGTTGTCCTCTGCTACAGGAACTATGCAGCAACTCTGAGCGGTTCAAGATTTCTCATATTCCCACTATATTAATTGATGATGAAGAGTTGATGTAATCCAACTTTGAAGTATTATATTACATCCTGTAAGGTTCCACTCATTTTCTATCACCTGTCTAGTTTAACTTATCTGCTACTGTATCTCTCATTTTCTTTCTCCTTTGAATCTAATGGTTGCAGGTAGTACAATGGATAAAATGATGGAAGAAGGTTGTTATGTTGATCAAATCTCCAGTACGGCCTATCTACTTCCTTTCTAGCTGATAATATCTCTGGTTTTCACTTTCTTGATTTTTCGCTGCAGTAATTCGTATAGGTGGCCAGGGTCTCAAGAAAATGAAGAGACAGAATGGTACGTTTAATTTGTATGCACCCCATCATTTGCAAAGATTCAGCTTGTTCTTCACAACTTTTATCAATTGGTTACAACTTGTTCAATATCACAAATAACGAAAAAGAAGAAGAAGATACTCTACAAAATCTGAAATTTGTCTTGAATATATTAGGATTACGAGCTGTTGGCCTCCACTAATGAAGCACTGCTATGCCTTCTATTGCTGATTATCAGGTTTCAGTTGACAGGATCAAGGCAAGAGGCAAAGGTTGGTCTGCAATGTAGTTGTGTTACATGTGGCGGACAAGGAACTGTGGTAGATTTTGATTGATCAAATATGCACTTTTAGTTCACGGTTATGTTGGAGTAATATCTTCATTTTGCAATAGTTTGTGAACCTATTTCTGTTGTGAATCAAGTTAGGAAACTGTATTAGCTACTGCACTGTGTATCGCTAATTTGTGTTGTTTGTGGTGTAATTGAAGATGTTAGAAGAGGTTAATGTTGATTGATGGTCCAAGGTGAAGATGGGTTTTTTTTTTTCTTTTTTTTCTTTTTAAGGTGAAGATACTGTAAACTGAAATTAGAACATTGTAAACTAGGTATAATTGAAAACTTACCTAATGCTAAAAAGTTACAAGGTATACTACTTGTATTTTGGGAATTGTATTTTTGTAACATGTGGAGAGTACAAGTTTTATTATTTTCTTACAAATTTGTTTCTGTGTAATCAAAAAAATTGTCTCTCAAAATTTCACTAGATAAACCAATTCCGCTCCACACTAACCAAATAAACTTGGTATCAAATGAAAGATATTTCAGTAAACATTATAGGGTAAATTATATTTTACCCCCCTGTGATTTACCCTTTTTTACATAACCCCCCTATGGTTTCAAAAGCTATACATAACCCCCTCATGGTTTGGATTAAAGTGTCAAAGTAACGGAAATAGTCCCTCGTAACGGAACTTCTAAAAATGTCGAAATTACCCTTATAAATACATGACACATTAACCCCCTATGATTTTTATATTTTACCATATAACCCCCTCATGGTTTAATACTTTACCATATAATCCCCTTATGATTTTCAAAATATACACATTATCCCCCTTGGTTAATACATAAATTTCAGCCTTACATAAGGGTATTTTTGACATTTTAGATGACGCTATTACGAGTGACTATTTTCGTTACTTTGACACTTTAATCCAAACCATAAGGGGGTTATGTATAGCTTTTGAAATCATAGAGGGGTTATGTGAAAAAACGCTAAACCACAGGGGGATAAAGTGAAATTTGCCCAACATTATATTTGTAACCTTGTTGTGAACTTTGAACTATGCTCTAATGGTATTGAAAATCTTTTTTTTTTCTTTTTTTACTGACATTCAATCCGTTTATTACTTGTAATTGGACATCAAAAAGTACTCATGCATTTTGTTCTGTCAAAATGGCACATTGTTCTACAGAAAATAGTATTAGAGACTCTCAAGTTGAATCATTGTGCAATTCTGTTAGTTATGTAATTCTTACAATATTTAGAATAAACTTGTATAACTTTCATACAAATGTGGGTTTTTTTATTTTATTTTTTCTTCAATAGAGAAAGGGTGGAACTTGAGAAGCCGGGAAGGAACTCAAAACCTCTACGTCTTGAGCCCATATAAATGTGAGTTTGTCAACTTATACAAATAAATAAATAAATATATATATATATATATATAAAGTATGGTTACACTAAAACGTGCAAGTTTACTTTAAAAATTGTACAATTATATCCACTGTGCAAAAATATCAACTTGATAGGCCCTTGACCTAGAAAGCAGACACACGTACATAAGGTTGATTTGATGAAATTTAAACATTGCCGAATTTTACCCCACTTCCACTACATTCGTAATCCATTTGTAGAAAAACATACTGTTACAATTTGATGTATGTAAAATAAAAAAGTGATTAAAAAATATGTTCGTGAAAAATGTAAAAAATTTTCTACAGAAAATCACGATCCAAACAAGGCAGTATTCGATTTCTACATCGGAAATGGAAATTTGGAATAGGAATCATGTCCCTTGACCCAAATGGAATTAACAATTTCAAGAATAATAAAAAAAGCTCCGTCTTCCAACACCAAGACAGCAATGAAAGTGGCAATTCACAATCTTCTAATTATTGTCTCTCTATTTATTAACCCAATTAGTGTTTATCACCATTAAATTGTAATTGTTGTTTACTTCATGTGTTAAAGAGGTCCAACATTTGTATAAGTTAATATTAATTACTTAGTTTAGTTTCTTAAACGTGAATTGAGGTGAACAGATCTAGTGGCATGGATTGGAAAATGGAGATGCCCGAGATCTTTATAAATTGGTTTAGTTGATTTATTTTTCTTATTTGGTTTAAGTGAAAATCTAAACTTCGAGCCAATGACTTTAGCATCATCCGATTAATTATCCCTACCAATTGAATTAGTCTTACTCACATGTATATTTATGAATTAGTTAAGTTGGTCATTACTTTCACATGAGACTCATACTGAATAGATCAAATAGACTGAATTTAGACGACTTATAAATTGGTTTAGTTAGTCTTTATTCTCATACATAACTCGGGTTGAATATATTTGGAAGGCAATTCCAACGAGTCAAGAACTATACCCAGAATCCGAGTCATGCGCATGGACGGACCATAATACAAAGCTAACTCTTTTTTTTTTTGGCAATATAGGGCAAACATTGACAGTTGCTGCCTTTGGATTGAGGGATTTGACCAAGGATTTGAAGTACCTTTGGTTGTTTACATTATTTAAGGAGGTATTTAGATTTGTTGATTACAAATTATTCTTGTATTTAAAATATATTTTAATAATTGATAAATTATAAACTCGAATACCTATTAAGTAATTCAAACAACTAGAACAATGTGGATAAATTTTGATCATTCATCAAATTTCTCAATCCAAACAAAAGCATAAAAGAATTTGAAATTCCATCGATCTCGAAACCAAGTAACCACATTCATCTATTTCAGTAGTGTAGATTTTTAATGAAATTATGATGTTTTATTTAAACAAAAAAAAAAAAAGAGTGAATTTGACTTTAATCACCACCAATAAATATCCTTAGGAGCATAGGTTACTTAAATGGAATATTAAAATTTACTTGCAAGGCACCAACATGGGATTTACTTGTTTAACGTCATGCATGATTTGTTGCCTTTACAAGGCTCCCGTACCGAGGCAAGGAATAAAGTGAGAATCAGATTAAGCAAATTCAGTGGGAGAAAAAAGCAGTAAAAAGTGAATAGCTAACATATAAGTATCTTCTTTTACTTTTTTGACCAAAGATGATTGATGTTTTTGATGCTTAAACAAGCAAAGAAGTACTCCGAAACTCTTATTGTCATCCACCACCAATTCCTGCTAGCTCTGCAAACGTATATCCTCTGAAAACCAAATTCTAAATCAAGGAAAATGGCTGACGCTCTTATTGGTGTTACCATTCGGATCATGTTGCAGAAGACACTCTCACTTGCCACAGATGGCATTGGAAGGGCTTTTGGATTCAAGGAGGAGTTGGAGAGCATGAAGGAATCTCTTGCCATGATCCGAGCAGTGGTAGCTGATGCAGAGGAAAAGCAAGGACACGATCAGGCTGTGAATCTGTGGCTGAACAGGCTTGAAGGAGTGGCTTTTGATGCTGATAATGTGTTGGATGAGCTCAACTATGAATTTATCAGGAGACAACTGAAGGGAAAGGTATGCTTCTTTCCAGTCTCTTGTGGTATTACTTTGCGTTGGAGAATGGCTTCTAAGGTTAAGAATGTTAACCTGAAGTTGAAGATGATCAATCAAGAAGCTACTGGCTTTGGACTCCGGTCCCAGATGATAATGGGAGGTGGTGCCAGTTTGGCTCCTCTTCCTCTCCCTGCTACTAGTCGGGAGACTGACTCTATCGTCCGTCAAAATGTTTTTGGAAGGGCCAATGATGCATCCAGAATAGTGGAGACATTGTTGAGCTCATCTGAAAAAGTTGTTTCTGTTGTTCCCATAACAGGCATGGGGGGGGTTGGGGAAAACAACTTTGGCTCAGTTAGTGTACAATGATCCAAAAATTCGTGGGCATTTTGATAAAAAGATGTGGATTTGTGTGTCTGAGAATTTCGAAGTTACTAGGCTATTCAAACTGATCTTGGAGTCATTAACAAAGAAGAAAGTTAAAACTCAAAGCAGGGACGTTATAGCTCAAGATATTCGGAAAGAACTTGAAGAAAAGAAATATCTTCTTGTGCTTGATGACATTTGGGATGAGAGATCTCAACTCTGGGATGATTTTTTCCAATCCTTGGTGGGAATTACCAACACAATGGGAAACTGGATCCTTGTCACTACGCGTAAGCTAAAAGTGGCATCGATTGTGGCTACGCATCCTACTTATGGATTGGATATATTATCAGATGATGATTGTTGGTCCATATTCAAAGAAAAAGCATTTGCAGGTGGAGAAGTACCAAAAGAATTGGAAGAGCTAAGAAATAACATCACGAAAAGATGTCAAGGTCTACCTCTGGCTGCATGTGTAATTGGAGGTTTACTACGTATCAAGAGAAAAGAAGAGTGGCTACCAGTTATAGAGAGTGGACTTCTGCACTTGAGTCAGAATGAAAATAGTGTCATGCAGCTACTTAGGTTGAGCTTTGATCATTTGCCAACTGCATCCGTTAAGAAGTGTTTTGCATACTTCTCAAATTTTGAAAAAGATTTTGTTCTGGATAAGTAACTGCTAATCCAACTCTCGAAGGTTTTCTTCAAGCAAGAGATGATGAGGAATTAGAGGATATAGGCAACAGCCATTACCACATTTTATTAGAAAGTTCATTGTTGGAAGAAGTAATAGACTATGACAACTGTTTGGATGTGGATGTCAGATTTGGCAAAATGCATGATTTCGTCTTTGATCTTGCACGATCAGTTTCAAGATCTGACAGCGCAAGGGAGGACCATTACCAGTCCAGGTACCTAGTATTAAATTCATCTGGGGTAGAAGCAGAAGTAAACTTGAACGACAAATTCACGTCAGTAAGTACGTTAGATTGGCTTGAGAGTGTCATGCCTGGTGACATCCTTGCAAAATTTAGGTACTTGCGCATTCTGAGGTTGCTTTCGGTGACTAGTGAGGTGCTACCAAGCTCAATTAGCAAGCTGATTCATTTGAGGTTGCTTGAAATTTCATACTCTAGAATAAGAGCATTGCCAGAGTCCATTTGCAAGCTTTATAATTTGCAAACACTGATAATTCTTGAATCTGGTGACCAGAGAATTGGTATGGAGCTTCCAAAGGGGATGAGAAATTTGATTAACTTAAGACATCTCAGCTTTTTTACATTTGACAGTGAACTCCAAATGCCTAAAGGGATGGGACAATTGACTTCCCTTCAGACACTACAGTTCTTCAATGTTGGAAAGGGTAAAGGCCGCACAATTGGGGAGCTGGGCTGCCTAAAAAATCTTAGAGGCCGCCTTCAGATTCGCAATCTAGAACTGGTAAATGGCAAAGAAGGAGCTCAGCAGGCAGATTTACTGAAAAAGCCTTACGTGGATGACTTGGGATTCCAATGGGGTAGTGGTAATCGAGAAGATGACAATGATGAAAATGTGTTGGAAGGCCTCCAACCCCATCCAAATCTGCATAGTTTACGCATTAGAAATTACAATGGTGGCCGATTTCCAAAATGGTTAATGACCATGGCAGTATGCAAGAATAGCATGGATGCGTCATCATCAACAAGACTAAACAAGTTGGTAAAGCTGAGATTAAGATACTGCAAAATGTGCACAGAAGTTCCTGCCCTTGGACTGTTGCCATCTCTTCAATTTCTCGAGTTGAAAGGCTTGGAGAACTTAAAAAGCATTGGACCATCATTCTATGGCAGTGCCGATGATTACTGTGGATTAAGAAGCAGTAGAAATAGTGGTGAATTGTCAAGCAATTTGTTTCCGGCTCTTAAAACTCTCAAGTTAGTAAAAATGCCAAACCTAATAGAGTGGTTGGGAGTAGAAGCAACACCAACAGGAGATGGTAATGAAGGACTGCGAGTGTTCTTTCCTAGTCTTGAGGACTTGAATATTAAGATGTGCCCCAAATTGACCACGGCTCCAAGTAATTTCCCAATTCTGAAGAAATTGACAATCGAGAAGATGGACCAACTTTTGCCCGTAAAACAGATCTGCAGCAATGCAACCACTCTCAATGACCTCTGGATCAAAGGAATGCCGGAGCTTACTTGTGTTCAAGATGTTCTGACCAAACAGAACTTAGAGTGGCTAACACTGGAGGACTGCCCCAATTTGATTGACATACAGGGCTGCGGAACTTCTCTAAAAAAATTGGACATTATCAACTGCGAGAAGCTAAGCGAGCTGCCAGAAGATCTGCATCAGCTACAGGCTTTAGAAACACTAAATGTGATGCAATGTCCAAATATCAAGTCAATTGCAATTCCTTCAGGACAGCACGGCATTAAATTCCTCCGAGAATTGAGAATTGTTGATTGCAGCGGGTTGAAGAGCCTACCAGCTGAAATGTTACACTCTCGTACATCTCTTAGTCGTCTGGCGGTGAAAAGGTGCTCCAACTTTGAGTCATTTCCAATTGATTTGCAACAAACACCTTCTCTGGTGACGTTACTCTTATCTTTTTGTCCCAAACTGACCACTATACCCAAAGGACTTAATCCCTTATCTTGCTTGAGGGTGTTGAGTATTGGTCCCTTCCCAGACTTGAGGCTGGAAGCTGAATTGTTATCGGCACTGGCTTCCTCATCTGTCCGTGCCCTCACAATTGTTGGATGGCCTCATTCAAACTCGCTGCCAGAACAGCTTCAGTACCTGACTGCCATTACACTACTGAGAATTTCTAAGTTTGGATCCGTTGAAACTTTACCTGACTGGTTGGGAAACCTTGGCTCTCTAGAAAGACTACACCTGATTGATTGTGAAAAGCTTAGGTATCTGCCTCCTATGGCAGCTATGCGGCGTCTCACCAAACTAAGGTTTCTGTCAATTGCTGATTGTCCTTTGTTACAAGAAAGTTGCTCCAAGTCTGAGCGGCTGAAGATATCTCACATTCCCACCATACTGATTGATGATGAAAGAGTTGATCTAACTCAACTTTGAAGTTCACTACATTCTGTAAGATTCCAATTTCCATATCACCTGTTAAAATATCTGCATTTCACCTTTCATTTTCTTTCTCATTTGAATATCATCAACGCAGATGGTAGATTGGATAAAGTTCTGGGGATAAAGGTTCTCATGGTGATCAAATGATTCCAGGATGGCCTAGGTACCTTCTTTCTAGTTGATTGCCTGATAACAATTACCATTTTCTCTTTCTTGCATTTTCTTTACTACTGTACTGCAAACCTTTTAACCACAATGGGTTATTGTTCTTATAGGTGGCCGGGGTCTCAAGAAATTGAAAGAGACAGAATGGTATGTTCAATTTGTTAGCATCCTAGCATGAGGAAAGAATTCGTTTGTTGAATTGGTTACATGAATTTGTTTGTTTTCACAAATAACAAAGAAAGTAGACGGGCTACAGAAACATCTGAAATCTTGAATTTATTAGGATTCTGAGCTGTTGACCTTTCTTTAAGTAGTAGGACTATGTGTTGTGACAACTGATTTTCAGGGTATGATTGATAGGATGAAGGCAACGAGCAAAGGTTGGGCTGCAAAGGTTCATGTTATATGTGGTGGAAGAGTTTAAGTGATCAAATCTGCACTTGTGCCAGTCCACAGTTAGGAAACTGCACTTGCTACTGCAGTGTAATTATCAGTTTTGTTGGACAAATAGTCACTTGAGTCTTTCTGGTGGTTTTTAGCGTAATTGAAGACTTTAGAGCAAATTAATGTTTTTTCATGGTGCAATGTGAAGATAACAAAAGAAACCACATAACTGAGCTTAGAATGACTCTTTTTTTTTTTTTTTTTGGTCAACAGGTGTGAGGGTGATTTTGTACTAAATCATGAATATTTTTGTGCTATTGTTGCTGTGAAATCATGTAGCTTTTTATTTTGATTTGGATTTGTTAAATTGTGGAGTTGTATCAAGTTGAGTATATGGAAATTGCCCCATTGCAAAGTTCATGAAATAGCTTCCAATTTTTCCCTTCCAACAAATAAATGGACCTTGAAATTCGTAAAATTATGCACGTACTATAAAAAAGTCATAAAATTTTCAGATTGCCCCTCGTGCAATATTGTGAAAAATTTTGGATATTTATCTGAACATTGAAATTCATCACATGAAATAAACAAGATTAACTACTTAACAATATAATAAAATTTTTATAATAGATTTATGACTCTTTTAATTGAACTTTTGGAATAGAATTCTATTTTATAAGTGTGTATTTACCCTATGAGCTTATTATGTATCATAGAGGGGTAGCTAAGAAAAACACATAAAAGAAATTACACTTTGTTTTCCCTTTAGCATGAAAGGATGGTAATTACTCTAATCATAGTTTGTCATCTGAATCCCCTTTTGACTGCTACTTTTACAAAATTGAGCCCCCTTACATGTATTTTCAGTAATCTAGGAATATTTCATTATTTGAAGTACTTATAATCTATCCTTAACAATTACATGATAATAATGTAATTATGAAGTCATTAAACTTGTCCAGTGCACAACAATGATTTTTTTTTTTTTCTAGTAGAGGAAGGGTGAGATTTAAGAAGTAAGGAGGGAGCAGAGAACGTGCTAAATATTGTACGTGATTTTATGATTTTATTGTTACCGCACTTGCTACGGACATTATCTCAGATTAATAATATTTTTGACACTTTCTATCAAAAAAAAAAGGAGGGAGCAGAGTGCACAACACTGATTGTTTGTTAGTATTAGAAATATAGTCAAATAAAAAGCAAAAAAAAAAAAAAAAATCTTGGCAGACATCCCATCCTATTATTAAGCAGTTTTCATGTAGTTTGATCATTTTATTAGGTACTAACTAACCCCTTGAATCAAGGCAGTTCTCATGGCTGATTTAGCAAAAAGTTTGCAATGGCAATGATTAGCATTTTTCTTTATTGTGATCAGGTTACCTCATCATCTTCATTCTCACTGAATAATGAAGATTTTGGTTACAAGATATTCCCCAACTGCCCCACATGTTAATCCACTGATATGATTAAGCAAGTATCAATTAACAATTTTGTGAGCTGGAGTCAAATTCAAAAGTACTGGCTTGATCTACTAGTTATATATGTAAAGCTATTCATAAAAAATATTCAGAGAGAATATAAGAATTTAGAATTACAATAAAAGCTGTGAAACTAAAAGTTGGCTGAAAACATAAATAAGTTGAAAATAAAACGAAATTAATGCGATGGCATAAAATAATTTTTATATAGTTCAAGTAAAATTATAATGGAGAGGTTATACACGGCTTTAATCTCGAGATATTCTAAATTTAGTCACTCATTTTCACTACAAATTATTGGTTTTCTTTTTATATTTTGTAAACAAAGCAACTGATTGAAGGTGTGGATGATGGCAAGTCTGCAACCATATTAATTTGTAGAAAGAATGCGATTAAGTCTTAATTAGAATATTAGGCTCTGGCTTAACATGATTCTCGATGTAATTAAAAGATTTCATTATTTGATCACCAATCCCTTCAAAATTGGGACAGTGAAAAACTTGAAAAATTTATGACAAACTACGGATAACAAGAAAAGATAATGAAAATTTATTTTTAAGGAATAGTTGTGAAACATATTTCTAAATTCTCATGCAAAAGTAAATTATTTGAGCAGAATAAAAATACAATAAACCTTTACCCAAAAAATGTAAAATGAAAAAGAAAAGGTCATTTTAGGCCGTTCTGAGTTAATCGGTATTACGTTCACATTTGATTGACCAAAATTTTTGGTTATTTTTGACTTCGAAGTAAATTGGACTCATAAACGGACCAAGTTAGGCGTTGAAAACGGTGAAAACTTGTTTGCCTTGTTTCCCGGTAAACATAGAGTAGTTGTTGGGGAATGGAAATAATACATGTTAGCTTATCAGCTACCCAAAACATGTCCAATCATAACTTTTTAGTTGGTATAAGTTGACAAGTAATTTCCAATTTCAATTGCAGTCTTGATATAAGAATTATATATATATATATATATATATGTATGTACGTACACACTAAAAGTTCAAAATAAGTATTGGAAAGGTCAAAATAAGGACTATTGGTTAATGATAAATTGCTTAAATGGCAATTTTTTTTCTATTCAGGATTCGAATTTTGTACCTGACAATTGGGGTGAAAAGGTGTAGCGAGGAAGGTTAAAAAAAAAAAAAAAGAGGCACATCCTAATTAGTAAGAAAGTTACCAAAGTATATGTGCATAACCCAAGAAAAAGTAGAGTAGAGAACATCAAAAGATTCAAAGCTGTCTTGACTCCCCAGTAGGCAGAGGTATATGCACAGTCAAGCCCCTCTTTCTAGCAATAGATTGAACAGATTCTGCCCCAAAAAGATGTGTAATGCCAAGAACATAAAAGAAATGCGCTTCTTAGATTTCACCCTTTTTCTATTAGGAAAAAAAAATTAAAAATAAATAAATGAATAACTAAAAAGACATGAGCTAGTTTTATGCATTTTCATGTGTACTTTGGACTACACATTACTTCAGATCGCCTCTTCAAACATAATTTTTCCCATTAAATAACTAAGTTGGTTAGTAAAATGTTTAAATGTCAATAGCATTATGGTTATGGAGCTCAATAGTAGCTTATTATAATAATATTTGTCCATCCATAACTTAAGGGACCTGAAGTAAATTGCAAGAAATTTAATACCAACCATATTAAAGGAACAACAAAAATTAATAAGTTTTTTGAGAAAAAAAGAAAAGAAAAACAATTGATGCCCTCCATAAATGCAAAGACAAACAAATGTAATACTACTACAACAATAACAACTAAGAGAGTAATCAAATCTCGTTATTGATGTGAGAGAATCCACTGTTGATGTAAGGGTTATGTTAGCAAGCGAACTGTAAGAATTTCTATAAGCAATGTATGATTCCCGAGACATGTCTTGTTTAGTGGTGATTAAAGATGGCAATTATGCGGGTACCTGTCGCCGCGGGGGGGGGGGGGTTAATAGGGCGGGGATGGGGTGAGGTGGGGGATGGGGAACTATACCCCCACCCCATCCCCCGCTTAAATAAAATAATAATAAGTATATGTGTATGTATATATATATATATATTAATTATATACATAACATATTTAATTTTATTAGTTATAAATATCAAATTATGTATATGTAATATAATTAATATTATTAGATATACTAATAATTATATATTTATACTAATACAAATTGTTGATTAGTTGTACTATTATATTTATGCTAAATTACTAACTACACTTATTACTAAATTATATATTTATATTAAATTACTAATTAATTTTTTTATTAATTATAAGCATTTTCTAGGCAGCACACGCGGGGGAAGTGTGGTGGGGTGGGAGGAGCGGATGATGGGGGTAGGGAGTATGTTTGGGCAATGGGACAAGAGGCGGGATAATGGTGATGATCGAAGTAGAACATATCTAAACTTTTCTTTACCCAAAAAAAAAAACTAAAAGAGTAAGTTATAATGGTGTGGACTACAGCTCATCCAATGGCTGCACCAAAGATAATTGGTGACATGCCTTGGCTTAATGAACTGCGACAAGGGACCAATCTGCTTAGTTTGGCAATAATTTGTCGGGTTTGAAATACTTTTTAGAATTTTAGTTCTAATATAAATCTCAATTCTAACATATCAATGGGAGGTCACAAGTTCGACTCCTACCTATAGCGTCTTGAAAAGTTTTGGACCAGACCTTCACTCCCAAATAAGAGTCGGACTTTGTGAGGGCTCTTCAAGTCGAGTCCGAATTAGTTTCACTAAGGATGGGAATATCGGTGCTCAAAGCAAATTAAAAGCTAAATAAAGTGATTGATAGCAGAGAAATTGTCTTTTTTGCTTCTTCTTTTTTGTTTTTGGTTTAAGTTTTCTGCAAATGTTTAATGACCTTATAATTAAAAATGAAAATATTAATTAATGAAAAATAACAAGTAATCAGCAAAGTCAAGTTATCTTGAATTTTTCACTAAATCCATCAGTTTTTGAGAATTATGGGACTTCCAATTCTTTAAAGAGAAGAATGATATTTTAAAAAGCAATATTTGTGATCGACTCTATGCACAATAATAATGAATATGTTCTGACTAATAAAGGTAATCTGCAATCTTGAATTTAGAGTTCAATTAATTAAAATTTAATTTTCAAGTAAAATTACGAATATTTGAATATACATACAGCATAAATACGAAAACAACTGTTTGGACCTTTTTCTTTTCTCTTTTATCTATAGATCCAAGAAAGATATTTGAAATACTATGGTGGCATCAAGATTAAAAAAGCAATCTGATATTCTTTTATAATCTATTATTTTCTTTTTGTTTAATTTCTTTAATCAAACTCAAGAAATTGGTGATTGGCCTCTATCTTCTTTACCACATTAATTTCTAAGTTCCAACAAGGCCCTCCACTCTTGAATAATAATAAATGTTTTGACAAATCTATTACTTTTTTTTTTCTACACAAGGGGTATCCGGATCAATCCTTACGGCGCCCAACTAATCCCCTGCGACCCGGAAGCAGCGACCCCTTACTTCCAGACGGGGCAACGACAGGACTCGAACTCTGGCCGAACCCAGGGGTCACAGGAGTGGTGATCATCGAGCTACCCTGCGAGGGCACAATTCTATTGCTTCAAAAATTTGCTTTCTTGTACCCGCACTTAGTAGTACACACACTAGTAGGGCCTTCAAAGTTCCAAAACCATCCAATCAACTATTGAATCTGATACAAAGAAAACAACACACTTTCCTACTTCTCTACTTAAAC